GGGGCACATGAGGTGGTGCTCGGGGCTTACTCCTGACTCTGTACTCAGGGGTAGCTCCTAGCTGGGCTCAGGGTACCCTATGGGGTGCTGAGGATTGTACTCATGTTGGCTATGTGTAAGGCAAGTGTTCTACCCACTGTACTATCTCTCTGAGCCCCCAGTGTTCCAGCCCTTTTGATAGTGACACTCCTGTCCCCTCTTCAGAGGCTTGCCCCTAGAACACAGGGGTGGCACAGGCTCTGTGTCTTGGAGGTTCGCCTGCTGGCAGCTATGCAGAAGCGAGTCTCTCTCGTCTTCTGTGAGAGCTCCTGTTGGTGGGGGCAGAGTGGCCCTGAGCAGGGTGGTAGGTGGGTGCTTTCGGTGGGAAATTGCACTTTGCACCTTTGAAGAGGAAAAGTGGCCTCGGAGCAGGTGGGGGTCCCACTGAGATCATGAAGGTTGACCCTGCTGGTTCTACCCAGCCAGGTGGGTGCGTTTCCCTCACCCCCTCATCCTCACCTCTGGCTAGGTCAGTCCCTCCTGGTGGGCTTCTGAGAGAGATGGTTCTTTAAAGACTAGACAGGACTGGGCAGTGAGCTTATTGCAAAGCCCTGTGGGACCCTGGGATAAGACAAGATGCTTGGCTCAATAAGATTGTTCTTATATGTATGTCCACATTGTGTGTGTGTGTGTGTGTGTGTGTGTGTGCGCGCGTGCACGCACACACATGCACACAGAGACAGGAGAATGAGCATATACCTACACACAAACACACACACACACACACACACACACACACACACACACACACACACCCCTTAGTGCCACAGTTCGTGAGAGGTTATGTCCTAGGTGAGGAAAGGATTCCCCTCAGCACCTCCTGGTTCTATGGGGGAGGAAGCCTCAGAAGCATACCTCTGACCAGTCTGCCTCCATGAACCCCTCCCCCTCCCCAGCCTAATTCCTACTGATCTGTAGATTTCTCTCCACAAGCTAGGTGTGGGGACTTTACCTTGTCATCCCTTTCCCTCTTCCTCAGGGACTCTCCGAGCTCTTTCCTGTCTACCTCTCACACATCCCTCTATCCCTGACCTCAGCTCAGCTCTCCCACTGTGCCTTGACAAGGGCAGCTGCCTGGGGTCCCTGCCCGCTCATCTCTCTGCTCCCTCTCTGATCCACACGCCCCTCTCCCAGGCCCACAGCTCCTCTCCAGAAGCTCCAGCATGGCATGCTCCAACTTTCAGAACTTCGTTTCTGGCTCTCCCAGGCCTTTTTGTGCTTGTTCTCTGCTGTCTCCCACAAGGACTCCCTCTGATGGACCCTCACCCCTACCAGCTACTCCCGGTTGGCTCCTTGGGATCAAAATGCCCATTCCTCTTATTGAGCAGGCACATGTCCCCCTGACCATCAGAATTCAGAGCAGGCAGCCTCTGCTGACCCCCTCTGCCTTCCTCCTGTCTAGCTCGGACCACCCACCCTGGGATCCTATGCTGTCTCTGCTCAGGAATCACCTCCAGAGGGAGGGTACTGTGCTCTGAAGTTGTTTTGCTGAACTCTACACAGTGTTGTACTGACATAGTAGCTGGCACCCTGGTGGCACGGAAGGGTGGGGGTTGGGGGGTGGGCAGTGTTGGAATGTTAGAGTGAGAACCGTGGACGTTGGGAGTTTCTACATCTGGCTTGTCCCCATGGCATCTGGCAGGAAATGTGACCTTCTCCCAGGTGGGCCGGAAGGTATCCAGGTCGTGGGCAGGTGTGGGAAATCACTGTCTCAGGACTCATGGTGATCCTAAGCTCTGAGGCTGCTGAATGTCACTTGGGGCCTTGAGATATCTTCCAGCCACACGCTGTGCCCTGGGAACAGGCCGGGCAGAGCTGCCGGCTATTGGCCGAGAGGTCACCTTGCCGCTCTGCTGTTCTAAAAAGGTTGCTTCCGTGCTAGCAAGGTGTGGGCGCAAAAAAGATATTTTTAGAGCTGTTCTTCTAGGCCAGACAGAAGGAGCCTGTCTGGTGTAAAGAATGCTCCACTGGGCTCCATTGATTTTCATTATTGTTATTAAAAGTAAGCCTGTGTTGGCTACGCAACAATACACAGAGCACAGAATTAGATCGCTCCATGCTCAGGGTCCCCTCAGGTTAACGTCCCCAGCCCCATATGCTGCCAAGGGCACCGGGCCATGGTCCTTCTCTGAGGCTATAGGCCTGCCCAGTTCCCAACAGGCCCAGCCTGTTCCTGGGGTTTGGAAGTAGAATTTTATGAGACCCAACACTCAAGTTCAGGCAGGCTTTGCTCCTGAGATAGGGGGTAGCCAGTTGCTTTGCCCTTTGACCTGAATCTCTTCTTGGCTTACTCCTCTGTCCAGAGAAGATAATGCTGTGGGGACAGGAATATTCCAGAAGGCTCATCGCACATCCACTACTTGGATTTTTCACAAGACATTCCATGGTGTGTCTGGAACAAATAGAGGCCATGGCTGGTCTGTTGAGTAGTTTCAGGAGGGAAAGAAAAGGGGGTAAAACCTGGAAGAGAAGGAGGGTCCCAGCGAGCAGGTAAGAGTAAGGATACTACTCTACAGAGAAGAGAAAGTTTTGGGGTTGAGTTTTCATTGTTTGCTCTCATAAGGGACCTTACCTGTCTGTTGCCTGCCACACTGTCTCCTCTTTCCAGGCACAACCTGGAACCTTGCATCCTCCCTAGAGGTCCCAGGGATGGAGCTGTCCACACACGGAAATTTCACTGCTTTTGCCATACTGATATTCTATGGGTCAAAGCACAACGATTTTTCCTGTATAATAGGCAATGAAAATGACAGATGTGAGAAGTCTGTAAGCAGAGTGCTGTGCTCTCCACTAATCCAGCTCACTGTTCTGTGATTGGTATCTGGGGTGGGCATGGGGGGGCATTCCTAACTTTCTGAGATATTTGCCAAAGGCCAGTAACCCCTGCCTCCCAGCTGCCTGCTGGGAGGACAAACTGTAGGAATCCAGCCGAAGATAACCTCTTGGGGACCCTGCCTCCTGACCAAGTATCTGCATGGTTCCTGCTACCCACTGTTGTCCCCACCCATCACTCAGTGGGGCATGCATGGCCTACCTGTCAGCACACTTGATTTTGTGGGAAGGGACCTGCTGGGGCCCCCAGGGAAATGCGAATGGCCCATTTCAGCTCATGGCACCCCACAGAGATGAAGGGCAGGCAGATGCCAACCTGGGAAGCTGTTTCTGGGCTGATCCTTCTCCCCCACCTAGGCTGGCTGGTCCCATGAGTGCTTCAACAGGGGAACACTCCCTTTCTCTTGAGTTCTGGTCTTAGGACCAGAGGTGGACCCTCTGCTTCTCTGACACCTACCTTGGGGGTGCACTGACTGCTTTCTATGCCCCCCTACTCATTTCTGTCCTGCCCGTCTTCCCCCATGCACTGATTTAACCAGAACTGAAGCTTTACACCAAAGAGTGACCTTGTCAACTGCCCAATCAGCTGGAAGACAGTCCCCTTCTGTCCCAATCTCTCAAAACTATATATATCCAGATATCCATGAAAAAAACAAGACAGCACAACCCAACCATGCCAACCACACACCATGACCCCCCCTCCCCCGCTTGCCTAATCTTCACAATGTTTTCCAGTTGTGCCACCCACGGCACTCAGAGGGGGCAACCCCTGAGAACTGCTGAGGCTCCAGTCGGTATACAGGGTGCCCTCCTGTTTAGGTTCCTGGGACAGCCCCATGCCACACAAGATTCTAAACAGGGCATCAGGCAAGCCCGGGAGTTGGCAGCATATACCCAGATTTAAGGAGTCTCTGTTCCTCCTAAGGCAGGCAGTCCCCTTTTGTGCACCTGTTTTTCATCTGAGCCACCAGCTTGGCCACCTGCTAGCCCCAAGCTAGGAAGGCATCATATGGTCTGTGCCAGAGATGGAGCCTTGAAAGGAAGGAGCAAATCTGACATGGCTTTCGTGGTTCACAGGAGCTAGGTCAGGCCAGGGTTGCTGGGCAGCCGTGCCAACAAAGCTGGGAGTGCATGCACATTCATGAGATGCTAAGCTGGCCGAGGCTGCTTGGAAACCAGATTCGTGGCTTTTGGATGGGAACACACGATGCCTTTGGATTCAGAAGTTCGGTTTTTGCCTTATGCATGTGTGTGTGTGTGTGATTATGTGTACGCTTGCATGCATGCACATGAGTGTGTGTGCATGCTGTGTGCACACGTGTGTGTATGTGTAGACACATGGATGAGAGCTGGTACAGCCCTAGGCCTCCATGTGCATACATTTCAGGACTGGAATGTCTATTTCTTCATCCACGTGTGATGTGTACCATGTGTGGGGCTGGAGATTTGGTTGATGGGAAGCAGTCTCGATGTCTCCATATGGGATCCATCAGTGAGCCCATGTGTTTGTTGTAGGCCCATGAGGAGAGTAGGAGGGGGGTGCGGTAGGGGAGTATGTACAGTGTCAGATAATTAGGTGTCAGTTGGCTTGCCAAGATGCCCTGATCCATGTCAGCTTTGTGAGACAGGGACTGATTCTGGACACCAGGCTTGGTTTTGCTCATCTCCCTCCATCAACTTTTCATCAGTTTACCTACCAAGGGTGGCCTACTTGCCAGCTTTGGGGTACAGTACACACCCCAGTTATGTATACTAGACAGGGTGCATAGTGTGTGAACCGTTAACCATGGTCCTATCAACTCCCAGAACTCATAGTCTAGCAAAGGAGGGTATGCCAGACTAATGCCCCATCATGAAATCTTAGCACTTCCTTAAGGGCCTTCTCCTGACTCTCATTCATGCAGTCAAATTTTATTAAGCGCATCGGGTGACCCACATCTGGGATGATGTGCCCTGTTTGTGTCATTGGTTTGGAGACCTGGACTGGAGCTCAGTGTCCTCTGCAGCAAAACTCCTGCTTTTTCTAGGAGTTATGACCTGCCCCTCATAGGGGGGTCTCTATAGGAGCCTACACAGAGGTCCCCAGGGGACCCAGGACCGCTCTGAATGTCCATTGCTCTCCCCTGCAGAGTGGCGACAAGGGAGTGGGGCCCGAATGATCCTGCAGGATGAAGACATTACTACTAAGATCGAGAACGATTGGAAGAGATTAAACACCGTGGCCCATTACCAGGTGAGGTGAATGCACCAAGGGGGATGGGCTGGAGCCGAAGTCCTAGTCCTTGAATGACACAGTTGCTCGGGGCTAGATACCAGTGAGACTTAGGTCCACTTCTCACCAGCACTGCCTGTTCCCTTCGTACCTCCCAGAAAACTGATGCTACCCTCCCCCCCCACACCTTCTCCTGACCTCTTTGTAGATTGGAGGATGGGGTGCATGCTTCCTGAAGAGTCCCCAAGCCAATGCCCCATTTTTGTAACATTTCTGGACTTGGTGCCTAGATGCTCTCCAGGAAGAATGGGGAGAAACGTGCTGGCAAAGGGCACCCGCAGAGCATTGTGACAGAGCCCCACAGACACGATGCTGCTGAGACTCATCTTTTTGGTTTGAAGGAAAAGTTCGCAACCTCCCAAATCCCTTCGCTCTCCTTTGAGCCTCTGCTAGTGCCTTAAGGACATGGTCCAGGGGTTGGGGGTGGGAGGTTCTTCTGTCTCTGGGGAGACCAGACCCACAGAAGCATTTCCCTGTAGGTTCCAGATGGATCCGTGGTGGCTTTAGTGTCCAAGCAGGTCACCGCATATAATGCTGTGAACAACTCCACGGTGTCTAGGACGTCCGCAAGCAAATATGGTGAGTCGACCCAGGCTCATCCCGAGAGATGGTGGGGATGGTGGGCAGGTGACCAGTAGGCCAGAGAAGAAAACTGGACCAGGGAACATTCAGGAATGTTGATGTGGAAGTTCATCCACCAAAAGCAAGAGGAAAATGTCACCTTCACGAGTTCCTCGGTGCTTCTTAGCTGCTTTCATGTTTGTGAGATCCATAATCGCACGTCATGTGCTTGACAATCCCATGAATTACATAATTATTATTTCCCCCTATTATGCAGATGAGCTAATTATGGCTCCACGAACCGAGGCTAGACAACACATAAAGGTCAGACCGTGATAAAGTGGTTGAGGGAGACCCAGCCCTGAGCTTCAGATGCTCAGAGGTGGGGAAAAGGGTGCTGGGTGTTATTGAAGATCTGAGGTGCAGGGATCCCCCCTGTGCACCTGAGAACCAGCTGTATGTCTTCCGTGATATTCAACTCTCCAAATAAGGATGGAAGAAAGCTACTTGACTCTGCTGTATAAGTAAATAAGAGCTAGCTGGAATAGAGAAGGGATCACTAAGAAAATGATTGTTGGAGGAATCGTTCAGGATGGGAGATGTGTGCTGAAAGTAGATAAAGGACCAAACATGTTAACCTCTTAGTATCTGTATTACAAACCATAATATCCAAAAGTAGAGAGAGAGTATAGGGAATATTGTCTGCCATGCAGGCAGTGGGAGGGTGGGAAAGGGAGGATATACTGGGAATATTGGTGGTGGGGAATGTGCACTGGTGGAGGGATGGGTGTTTGATCAATGTGTGATTGTAACTCAAACATGAAAGCTTATAACTATATATCACAGTGATTCAATAAAATATATTATATATATATATAAAGAGCTGACACACAGTAGGACTTTCATCTTCTTGCCCTGCTTTGCACTCAACTTCATCACAGTCACGTTTCAACCATAATAGGAAGATTGGCCGCAGTCAGAGGGGAGGGTGAAGGTGAGCGGGAGACAAAGAGATTATTTCGTAGTCACTAGTCATGAGGGCGGACAGGGAAGTTCCTTCACCCTCTGTTTCAGGGTCTACACACAACACGTGCTGAGACCAGACCCAGGAAACTCTTACAAGGGGAAGTATACAAAGAGTGCACATGAGGGGGTGGGGAGAGCGTAAGGGGTGAAGACACTTGCTTTGAATGGTTTCCAGCACCATTAGGGTTCCCTGAGTGCAGTCAGGCGTGACTCCCAACACAGGACCAGGAGTAACCCCTGGGTACTGTCACAGGTGGCCCCAATCCCTCCCTCCCTTCAATAAAAGAGCACTCATATGTTTACAAATGAAACAGTTAAGGATTGGCAAGAGACACGTAAAGGAAAACGGTGAAGCCACAGGGGTCAAATAGGTCCTTGGACTTCCCAGAATTGGTGAGGAAGGCACCCAGGATCCAAGGAGCAAACTCAGCCCCGGCAGGGGAGCAGCACCAGAAGTGGCAGGAGGGATGAGATAGCCACGGTCTGGGCTGTAAGGGAACAGTTGGAGGCAACAGGGCCCTCACCCACATGGGGGGGCATTGCTTTTGCTGGCAGAAAACATGATCCGGTACACGGGCAGTCCTGACAGCCTCCGCTCACGCACGCCCATGATCACCCCTGACCTGGAGAGTGGAGTCAAGATGTGGCACCTGGTGAAGAACCACGAGCACGGGGACCAGAAGGAGGGTGACCGGGGGAGCAAGATGGTGTCTGAGATCTACCTGACACGGCTGCTGGCCACAAAGGTACTACACACGAATGGGGTCGGACAGCAACCTCCTCACCCTGCCGCACCCAGGAGGGACAGCAAATCCCTCCAGATGGTGCGAGCAATCCCTCCCATTCACCCACAACAGGCACTTGGTATCTTTCCCTACAAAGACTCTCAGAGTCCTCAACCCCTGGCAACCCCTTTGTGTTGTTGGCATGTGACCTGATATGCTCCCCCGTCCCCTCCATCCTTTCCCAAAGGTTCTAGAGGCTGGAGAGATAGTACAGTGAGAAGGGTGCTTGCCTTGCACATGGCCAACTTGGGATTCGATCCATGGTACCCCATCATGGTCTCCCAAGCACCACCAGGAGTGATCCCTAAGCCCAGAGCCAAAAGTAAGCCTTGAGTACAACCAGGTGTGACCCCCAAAACCAATGAAAACAGATGCAAATTCTGTCCGCATCTGCTCACGTGCTTCTGCTGGGACTCATGGAAGAGGGGCTCCTTTGCTGGAGTGTCACGGACATCCTTAGTGAGGCAGATCACGACTCCCACTGTGACTTTCTAGGCCCCATTTTTAATGCTGGTTCTGGGGACGTTGCCCGCCTGTGGTGTCTTCCACGCCCCAGGCTGGGCTCAGCTCTGCTCTCCTCCAAGCCCCATCCGTAGCTGTTCATTAGCCGGTGTGACTAATGCCCGTGCACAACCAGCAGATTGTGTTTGTCCGCCTTGACCGAGGGAGTTGTTCATTAGCATTTGTGAAAAGTGCTAAAATAACACCGCCAAAGGGTGTTAAACTGAGCCGTGCTGCTGGCAGAGGAAGGCTCAACCAGGTCCAGGCATCCGTGTTAGATCTGCTTTCCACGAGCAGCGGAGATTGTGAGCTGTTAGAGACAGATGAGAGGAGTGGGGGAGCTGGAGCACACGCGGTGACCCAATTTCACCCCAGCAGGCCAGCTGGGCTGGATGCTGTCCTCCCCCAGCCTGGTCAGCCAGGCTGATCCTAAAACCCATCTTCAGAACTCCTGGGGGTCAACCATGTCTCGACCTGTCCTGCCTCCCCCAGGGCACATTGCAGAAGTTTGTGGACGACCTTTTCGAGACCATCTTCAGCACAGCGCACCGTGGTTCTGCCCTGCCGCTGGCCATCAAGTACATGTTTGACTTCCTGGACGAGCAGGCTGATAAGCATGGCATTCACGACCCACATGTTCGCCATACCTGGAAGAGCAACTGGTGAGTAATGGTGTACAAAGCATTTGGCAGGAGAAACCAGCCCCAAGTCCATGATGGGGCATCTGCAGGGCCTGGGGTCAAGGAAGCCAGCCTTTGTGCATGATCATCAGAAGAGATTAGACACAGGCATGCTCTGAGCCTTCCTACCCTCTCCTGGTTTTGTGCTCACTCCTCTCTGGTCAAAGCTGCCCTTTTTCCTCTCTTTTTTTGGGGGGAGGGTGAATTTGGGTCACACCTGGAAGTGTTTAGGTGACCATATGCGCTGCTGGGGATCAAGCCAGCCCTGTACTGTTTCTCTGGTACTACATCTTCAATTTCTCTCAAGTGAAGGAACAAACAGAACAGGTCTGCTCCCTGTTTGTTCCCGGCTGGCTCCCTCACGTCCTGGGACCTGGAGTGCATCTGACATGATACAGAACACTAGAGATACAGAGATGATCAGACTTGATCTGCCAACAGTAAGATGACAGATATGGGTGAGAGACAGGCTGGGTCTCTTGGGACAAAGAAGCAAATGCAATGCCAGAAGATGCTATTGTGCAAATGGAGTGCAGAGGAACAGCATTTAACAGCAGCTCAAAATAGGAAGTTTTGAAGCTCATCTGTTACTGAGCAAAAAAAAAAAAAATCTTTCTGCCCAAAGCTCAGAAAAACAAATACCGTGACATTTTTGAGAAAGTTAGAGGCTTTATTGTGAGGTCAACCAACAAGGAGACAGGAGGGTCAAATCTTTCTATTCTGTCCTGGAGCCTTATTTGGGAGGTCCAGATCTAAGTCAAATAAGGAGAAAGATGGAATAAAGAGGATTGGTGTGGTTTGAATTAGTCTTTCTAGGGTAAACTCATGGTGGCAACTGATCTTCTCTGTTGTGGGAATTCTTATTCCAGAATAGAATCCTTCTATCAGATTTTCAGTTTTTCGGTTTAATAGATGGGTAAATCTTGGTTCCTAAGGAGCTTGGTCACCTGGAGGATGTGGCTGGAAAATCACTTACCAAAGAGACCCCACTTCCGGCAAATGGTCAAAACCAGTTTTGAGTATTTTTGGTATGTGGTCTTACATGTTAGAGTCATTTAGGAGAACTGAGGTAATTTCTTTTTTGTTTTTGTTTGGGCCACACCCAGTGGTGCTCAGGATTTACTCCTGGATCTGCAGTCAGGGATCATCCCTGGTGAGACTCAGGGGACTATCTGGCGGGTCATTGTACCTGGTAGAATATTCTACCCACTGAACTATCCCTCTGCCCCCTTAGGGTAATTTCTGTTTGATTCTGGAAACAATGGTCTTTCCTACCCAGGAACCCCTTTCACAAACTCCCTTTGGGGAAGAGACCACCTTATAACTACTTTGCATGTCTTTGGGACGAGAGGAATCCCAAAGTCTTAACCAACACTCTAAGCCCTCACTATGGTCTCTCTCTTAAAACACACGCCATCCTCTGTCTTTGTTTGTGGGTGGATTGTGTTTCTGGTTGACACTGCAAAGTCAGGCATCAGTATTCGGCACTTGGTCTGGAACCTCACACAGAGCTGGGACTGACTCCATAAATATTAATGATGATGCAGAGCCAAGATGGTCCCTATTTGAGCATTTTACTCCAGGCAATGCTGGCTTATATTTAGTCCCACCAATTCCAGAATTGTCTCCCCATTGCTTTTAAATGGTCTCCGTCCCAGGTGGTTCTACCCCAGATCATTCCACCAAAGGCACCATGGGCCTGAAGCCCAGCACCTTCCAACTGCAGGGACTGCCATGAGGCTGGGGGGCTGCCCAATGTGATGTGACCACCAGTTCTGAGCCCAAAAACTTGCATGGAGGCAGAAGTCATCCTGTGGTACTAAGTGTTTCTTAATGGAGTAGATCTCCTTTATCCAAGAGAAGTGTTCTCTCTCCCGGAACTGAAGAACCAGGCAAGACCAGAGGTTTGTACTATAGATCTGAACAGTCAGGCTGGCTTCCACTTTTCTTCTTGGTGAGAAATGATTCTTCTCTTTTTTAATTAAAAAATATTTTAAATTCGATAGCACAGCGGTAGGGCGTTTGCCTTGCACGCAGCCAGGTTCAATTCCTCCACCCCTCTTGGAAAGCCCAGCAAGCTACCGAGAGTATCTCGCCCGCATGGCAAAGCCTGGCAAGCTACCCGTGATGCATTCAATATGCCAAACACGGTAACAAGTCTCACAATGAAGACCGTTACTGGGCCCGCTCGAGCAAATCGATGAACAACGGGAGGATAGTGACAGTGAATGAAACACCAAAAGATACAATTACAGACTTACACACTTTGGTGATTATGTTTCAGTCATACAATGGTCAAATACCCATCTCTCCACCACTGCCCATTCTCCACCACCAATAATGTTCCAAGTATCCCTCCCACCACCCCCACCCCATCCCCACCCCCGCCTCTGTCGCAGGCACATTCCCTAGAAAAGATCTTCTCTTGTGGATTCTTCTAACTTTCCTGAAGTAGGACTTACAGAACTGGGCTTATCATTTGATGTACCAGCACTGGGGTCCATTTGGTCCCTACCCCTGAGAGGCCCCTCAAGTTGACTCTCTCCCAATGCCTGCCTCTGAGGAAGACTGCATTTAACTCTCCCCAACTTTTAAGCCTGTCACTGCAGGGCTGGCTGAGGGGTCTGCCTCCTGCCTCCTCCACCCTCTGTGTGTCACGGAGCCTTCCTACTAACCCTCTCCCACCTTAAATGCCAGCAACCTTCAGAATAGGAGAATGGCTCAGCCCAGATCTTCTCTCATGCCAGCTGCAGAGAACTAGTATTTCTAAAACCCCCTTCTCCATGCCCCTGTCACCCATTCTGTTAGAGGGCCTGGAATGGTCTCTAAAGCGTTTTGTTGTGGTTCATACACCCTGCTGGCATTAGACCACCTCCAAGCTGCCATCAAGTCTTTGGGGCGAGAGCAGAACTACCCTTCACAACTCCCTTTCCAGATGTTCAGGGATGGGTAAGATCTCCAGCTGCCATTAAAAAAAAAAAAGAAATGAAAAGAAAAAAAAGAAAAAGTAAAATGAAAAGAAAATAAAAAGCCAGGAGCAAACAACAGTACCAGGTTCTATTGCCAAAGGAGTCTGCCCTGACCCTGCTCCTTGCTCTCTAGGCAGGCAGAGTTCAGTCTGGGGATTGTGAAATCTGTGTCTGGACTCTGAGCTCATTGTCCTCTAAAGCAGTGAACTTGGTTGAAGTTGGATTGAGTTGATAGAAAGACTGCTTGTTTTTTCATTTTTGTTTTATTTTTCAATTCTAAAGTTTTACTCACCTTCTCCCCACCCTTCCCCCAACCTCTCAATTTTTTTTTCTTGGAAATAAACCTCCTGCTCATTTAGCCTGAGTGGCTGCAATCAACCAGAGATTAGCGCCACCACTAATGTTAATAATATGCTAATATTTCATTAGGCCAGAGCTTCAGGGAGGTGCAGGGCTGCCTTGTTTGATGCCCATCTGTCAGCACAACTGGCATAAGGAGGGGGAGAGCCAGGGAGTTCCAGTGCCCCTTAGCCAGGCTCCCCTGTCCCTCTTCCGGGTGGGATTTCTGCAAATAGGAAGGAATGCGAGAAGGACTTTGCTGCCCGAGCAGCTGGTAGTAGGCTCTTCATCCTGGGCTACGGCCCAGCTGTCACGGCCTCTCCCCTAGGTAGCTGCATTCATCCCAACTTTTACCATTTGTCTTGGCTCTGAGCTTTTTTCCTTTTTCCTTCCTTCCTTCCTTCCTTCCTTCCTTCCTTCCTTCCTTCCTTCCTTCCTTCCTTTCTCCCTCACTTCCTTCCTTCCTTCCTCTTTCCCTCCCTCCCTCCCTCCCTCCCTTCCTTCCTTCCTTCCTTCCTTCCTCTTCCCTCCTTCCCTCCTTCCCTCCCTTTCTTCCTCCCTTCCTCCCCTCCTTCCTTCCTCCCCTCCTTCCTTCCTTCCCTCCCTCCCTCCCTTCCCTCCCTCCCTCTCTCCCTCCCTTCTCTCCCTTCCTTCCTTCCTTCTTTCCTTCCTTCCTTCCTTCCTTCCTTCCTTCCTTCCTTCCTTCCTTCCTTCCTCTTTCCCTTCCTTCCTTCCTTCCTTCCTTCCTTCCTTCCTTCCTTCCTTCCTTCCTCTTCCCTCCTTCCCTCCCTTTCTTCCTCCCTTCTTCCCCTCCTTCCTTCCCTCCCTCCCTCCCTCCCTCCCTCCCTCCCTCCCTCCCTCCCTCCCTCCCCTCCCTCTCTCCCTCCCTTCTCTTCCTTCCTTCCTTCCTTCCTTCCTTCCTTCCTTCCTTCCTTCCTTCCTTCCTTCCTTCCTCCACACCCAGTGGTTCTCAGGGCTTACTCTTGGCTCTTTGCTCAGGGATCACTCTTAGCAGGCTCAGGGGACCGTTTGTGGTGCTGGATTTGAACACTGATTGGTGCATGCAAGGCAAGCACCCTACCTGCTGTACTATGGCTCCAGAACCTTGCTCCTTTCTTTCTTTGTCTGAATTTCCTGAAATGAAACAACTGCCACTTGACATCACCAGACCTCAAAACTGCCTGCCTGAGTTTCACACTGCATGCTTTGTAGGAACGTGGGTTCCTTGCCGGTTGATTGGCAGTCTGGACTGTGAGGCACTCCTGTTCATACAGTCTTTGTGTGTGTGTTCAGGACTGCTGGGAGATAGACCCAGGATCAGTGTCTTCTACTCAACTATTGAACTATTCCCATTCAAAGAGTTTGAGTTCTAAGAGGCAAACCCCACACAGAGGACCATTGTGACTATTACCCACCATGAAGTCAGCAGCCACAACAATGAAACATCAGGACAAATGGCAGGAAGCAAAGAGATGGGGGCAGAGGGCGAGAAATAAGAGATTCTTCGCTGGGAGGATCTCGGCTTCCTCCCTGTGTCTCAGCAGGCTGGATGGAAGTCACAGGACGAATTTGCAGAGAACAGCAGGTCCTGGAACATCATTTGCTTCGATTTGTTTCATTATAATGTTGATGAGAAAAACAGCCTTTGTTGTCCGGGCAGTTTGCTCTTTCCCTGTGTCTGTGTGGTTTTTCTCAGGGACTCCTGCTTCCTTTCCAAGATGTGCAGGAGAGGTACATCGATGTGACTCAGTTGTCCCAGCATGAGTGTGTGGGTAGGGTGATGTGCCCCGAGTCGAAATGGCTGGTGCCCTGTCCAGGGTAGAACCTGGCATTAGAGGCTGTCATGTCAGGATGGGCTCCCCGGACAGGCCACCCTGGGCCTGAACTGGAGTGTGAGATGTACAAAGAATGAATGAAACGAACATTCTGGACTGTGAGTCAGAACTGTGATCAGGGCCATTATTGAGAACCTTGGGGATGTTAGGTTGCAGAACCTTCTCTTGGTTGATCTCCACAAACCTGTGGGCAAATGGGTTGCCTGTGGGTTGCATTTTATGTTGCTTTGCTGGAAATCACGGCCTCCAAAAATGGATGCACAACACTGAGTGACAACCCACTATAGAGGGGCTGGGTCGTTGGGCAGGGTTCCCTGAACGCCCCAGGACCCTTTCTCATTAGAGGGAGGGTCACCATCACCTGCCCCTCAGCACATTTGTCTTCTTTCCTCTTCGTCTTTGTGACCCAAACCTGCTTTTTGCAGCCATCCCCCACCTCAGCTCCCATCCCCAGAGCTGGAGAAGATGTGCTCATCTCTACAACCCAGCCCAACTCTCTGCAAGCACTTTTCAGGCACTGGGTGCACTTGATAACCCCTGCCTTTGTCCCACCTAGGACTCTGCCCACCTTTGAGATACCAGCTCCTGCAGTCCTCAGAGCTAAACTTATATATCTGTCTTCTCTATGGACAGACCAGGACACTGGCTTTCTAAGGGCACCCTGAGTTCCCCAGGGTGCTAATAATCAGAGAGAGCGAGAGAGTGCAAGAGGCCTTCTTAGAGGTTTTCTAAGTCTGGCAGTTGGATCTGCCATGTATCCAATCAGGGCGGGGCCGACGCAGACCCTCTCCAGTACAGGGTCTCATCCATCCTTGCTGGTTCTCACTTAACCAGGAAGTAGTTTGTGGCCCAGAGAAAACTCCTAAAAACTCCAAGTCCTCCACCATTTTTTTTCTCTCTCTCTGGGCTGAACTGGAGCCTTCCACGCCCCCTACGCCAAGCCTAACCCCTGCTCTTCTGCCACACAGCCTGCCACTGCGGTTTTGGGTGAACATGATCAAGAACCCCCAGTTCGTGTTTGACATCCATAAGAATAGCATCACGGACGCCTGCCTCTCAGTGGTGGCACAGACCTTCATGGACTCCTGCTCCACATCAGAGCACCGACTGGGCAAAGACTCGCCCTCCAATAAGCTGCTCTACGCCAAGGACATCCCCAGCTACAAGAGCTGGGTAGAGAGGTGAGTGTGTGTCACAGAGCCAGGACTGGGGCAGGATGGGGTGCTGCTGCACACAGCCTGTGACTAGGGATCCCTATCACCTCTGAAAGGGGCTGGCACAGCCCAATGGGTTCTTCACCAAACCCAGTCCTGCAGTGGCATCCAACGATACCGCCATCAGCCCCATGTGATTAGATGAAAACAGACACTGGGGTTCTCAGCTGGTGTAGTGCCTGAATCTCTGAGGTCGATGGGTTTTCTGGACTCTGGGGTGTATCATGCTGTAACATTTCAGGTCTCTACCCTCTGTCTCACCCATCTACCCATTGCCCCAGCATTCCGAGGGGCTTCCATGGTCATTCTGAACAGCTTCTCCCCCACTCGGTGTCTGGACTGTCACCTGATGAGCCCCTGGTGAATGCTATACTTGGTTATAGCCACCCTGATCTCATCATTGTCTGTGACTGGGGGCATGAAAAATAATCTTGGAGCTCTCGAGCTGGATTGTCTTAGTGCAAAGTGGCGCGGAATAGTCAGTCTGAGCTCCCTTGCTCCACATGCCAGTCATGTGAGCTGAGCAGCCCACCAGAGCCACGCGTGTGCATTCACTTTGGCAAACATGGACTAGGAGAGGTCAGCAACAAGAATCTCATTATGTGTCCCTGAGGCAAAGTCCTGTATGTAGAAAATGACTAAGTGATCCCCTAAAGCAGTATAAGTGGTCAGGATAAAGCTAGATGCCCACACTCAGACTTCCAAATCTCTTTTCTACCATCATGATACACTTAGGCAGGGCTTCTGCCAGCCTATAAGGGGACTGTTGGATTAAGGAAGAACATTCCTAAGGGAAGGAAAGGCCCAGCACAGGGTCCAATGTTGAGTGAGAGGCTAGTTGTCATCTTCCAGCTCATCCATTTGTCCAAGCACCTTTGTGCAGTGAACAACCCACACAATCCCCCCTGGCCATCTTGATTTTAGCAGCCCTTTCTCTCGTCTCCAATGAACTGAAAGGTGCCAGGAGTTTACTCCATGGTTTGGAGGCCAGCTGCACACTCTAGGGGTAAAGGCAGCTCAGATAGAGAAGGGAGAACCAAATAAAGGGTATTGGGAAAATCCGGCCAGGATGGGAGATGCATGCTGAAAGTAGACTATAGACCGAACATGATTGCCACTCAATGCAAACCACAGCACCCAAAAGAAGAGCAAGAACAAAAGGGAATGCCCTGCTGCAGAGGCAGGGTGGAATGGGGGAGATGGGGAGTGGGAGGGATACTGGGATTAGTGGTGGTGGAGAACGGGCACTTGTGGAGGGATGGGTACTCGATCATTGTATAACCAAAACCCAAGCAACAAAAATTTGTAAGTCTACAACTGTACCTCATGGTGTTTCACTAATAAAAATTTAAAAGGAAAAGAAAAGAAAAGAAAAGAAAAGAAAAGAAAAGAAACCCTGAAGGAAGCTCAGATTTGGTGTCTTTCTTGAAGACTGAGAGAGACTGGGCGTTGTTCCTGACCTGGAGACTGGGGAACAGTGCAGTCACATTATTTTGTCTGGGGCAAAGATCTGGTTCCCATCTCCTACGGAGAAGGGAACTTTGCTCTCCCTTAGTCCAGAGAGGGTCACTAAGAGAGTAGATGCTGGCTCGGTCAGTAATGTTATTCTACTTAAAATCAGTTGATTGTTGTCCTCCCCTCTCTTCTCTAATTGCTTCCTGCCCCCCTTTCTGCTGAAGCCAGAGCAGGATCTTGCCACTGTGACTGAGCAAGAGACGGTCAACTCTATAGATCTGGTGATGTCTGGTTAAGCAGAGAGGCCCTCACCTCCTTCCGGTGGCTCCTGCTTCTGACACTACAGCTGCTAGAAACAGGCTGTCCTGTGTGTGGCCAGCAGCTCTTTTGCAGAGGGAGGAGTGGGGGGACCACTAGACCAGGGTCCTCCCTGCCTCATGCACTGCCACTACCTCAGGCAGGGAGAGAGGAAGGAAATGAGGCGTTGGAAGGCCAGGAGCATTCAGGAAACCTCTGCCAGAGGACACATCCCCACCCACCCTCCCGCACAGGTCAGAGGGAGGTGAGGCTGGTGCTTGTGCCAGGCTAATGGTCACTCTTTCACTTGGCGCTAAATGAGATCTGTGCCACGCGGTTGCAGCAGGTCACACATAACCCCCATTCATTTGATTGTTTTTAGGAGTGGCTTGATGGTTCCCATTTCTTATCCCCTAGTTTCTTAGCAACCCAGGTGCTCAGGAAGACCCGAGGTGAGTCAGGAGAGTTATCTTTCACTAACTCGAGGTTCCACGTCCTTTCTCCTCCTCCTGGAGGAGGGTCAGTGGTGCTGGGATGGGGACACAGTGAGAAGGGCCCCTTCCCAGGCGATGATGGCCTTGGGGGCCTGTCTGGCTGCTGGGAGGGGCACTGTAGTGTAGCACTGTAGCACTGTCCTCCCTCTTGTTCATTGATTTGCTTGAGCGGGCACCAGTAACGTCTCCATTGTGAGACTTGTTGTTACTGTGTTTGTCTTATCGAATACATCACTGGTAGCTTGCCAGACTTTCTCAATAGCTTGCTGGGCTCTCTGAGAGGGATGGAGGAATCGAACCTGGGTTGGCCACGTGCAAGGCAAACGTCCTACCCGCTGTGCTATCGCTGGGAGGGGAAGCAGGGCAAACTGGAAGGATCCACAGCCTCCTCACTGCCCAACGCCTGGCAGCTGCCGGTCAGAACAAGGGCCCTCACACATCTGGGGAGGCCTTTGTCTCCATGCAGCTGGACACAGGAGGTGCCCCAGATGACCCGCACCTTTAAGGGAGAATAAAAGGTGGGTTTGGGAGGCCTCACCACGCTGAAGAGCCTAAATGACTGTACCTGTGCTGTCTCGTAGCTCCTAGGAGTGCTCTCATTCGTCAGGCAGAGAGGAAAGAAGGAAAGGAGAAAGGAGGAAGGAAAGTAACCATCCTCCTGGGAGTTCTGCTGCCCATCCACCCCCTCCTCCACCTCCAGCTTCTCTCCAGTCTCCCTCCTGTCCTCCCTCTTACCCTCCTCTCTCCCGGTCCCTTCTTTCCTCCCCTCCCCTCCCCTCTCTCCTCCTCTCTTCTTCCCTTCCTCCCCTCCCCTCCCTTCTTTTCTCCCCCTTTCCTCCCCTCCTCCTCCCTTCTTTCCTCCCCTCCACCTTCCTTCCTTCTTTCCTCCCCTTCCCCTCCCTTTTCTCCCCCTTTCCTCCCCCTCCCCTCCCCTCTCCCCCTCTCTTCCTTCCTTCTTTCCTCCCCTCCCCCTCTCCCTCCCCTCTCCTCCCTCTCCCTTCTTCCCTCCCCCTCCTCTCTCCTCTTTCCCCCCCTACCCCTCCTGCTCCTTCCTCATAGCTTCTTCACATGCTCCCTCCCATATTTCCTCCATCCGTCATGGCTATCATTCCCTCCCATCCCCTTCCCATCCGCTCTCTATCCTTTCCATTGCCAACCCACTCTCCCTCACTCAACTCAATTCCACCCTCGCACATTTCTTTCTATCTACTCTGTCCCCAACCCTCCTTCCAACCCTCTCTCCCATCCATTCCTCCTGTCCTTCCCATCCCCTCCCACTATGCCTCGTACCCTCCTTCCCATCTTCCTCCCCCCCTTCCTGCAAACCATCCCTTCTCTTTCTTCTCATCTCCCCCTTCCCTCCATCCTTCCTATCCTCCCTCCCATTCCCCCCTAAATCCATCCCTCTAAACCCTCTAAATTCATTCCTCCCACCTTCCCTCCTATCCATCTTTCCTGTCTTCCATCCTACTCTCCCTCCTCTCCTCTCTCCTGTTCCTGCTCTTTGGAATCCCCACGCTGCTCATGACTGCTGTCCTTGTTGGAGACTCCCAGCCTCATTGTCTCCACCCATCTATTAGGGTTTTGGCTTGCATGTAGAAAGAGAGAATATGGTCTCTTGGTTCCCATTAGCACCCAGCTGCCAGTCTCATCTTCCTGACATGGCTCAGAGAGTTGCCACCATGAGCCAGTGGTCTGCCACCACTGTGATATCTATCACCATCCACTGATATCTATCACCATCCACTGATATCCATGGCCACCAAACGCTCCTGTTAGGTAGCGCTTCCCTCCTTCCCTCTCGTGGGAGACTGAAGATGCCTCCCAGCTATCCCTGCAGCAAGCATGGCCCCCAACCTGCACGGGGAGGTGGGGGGCTGAGGCTCACAAGAGAGCGGTGAGTGCAGGAGTCAGCTTAGGCCCCCTGGGAATGGCACCAGGGTCGGCCACACATCTGAACACCATCGATCATAGGCGTCGGCACATGAAAGAGGTTCCGAGTCTTAAATATTTAAATACGCCTCCTGTGGCAACCATCCATTCCAAATATGAACCGATGACAGCTCGCCCTGGGAGCATGCTGGAGATGGCGTGGAGACGTTGCGTTAATGTGTTCATTAGGCTCCGGGCCGAGCCTTTCTGGGGCCAGCAGGCTGCTCTTGGTGGGGATCAGACTGGTGACTTCCCCCTTGGTGCTTGTGGGGCAGTTACACTCAGACAGGCCTTGGTGAGCCCCACGAATGAGTCACCGTGGTGAGACTCAGGAAGACCCCTGGTGCCGGGGTGACTCTCAGAAGAAAAGGCGAGTGTGGGGTGCCCTAGATGCCCTTCACTTTGGCGATTTTGTCTTGGAGGTGTTGGAAGGAGTGACACTGAGCAGTCAGGGCCCTGGAGACCACCTTCTTCTCCAGCCCTGGAGCCATTCCGGAGATAGAGAAGTGTCCCCCTAGCCTCACGCTCTGCCCCTTCCTGTGGAGCCCTCCATGGGGTCTACTGCTCTGAAAAGTATACCCCAGTGCCCACTCAGCACTGACTCAGCCTAGAAAGCAGGGGAGGCCAGGGGAGTTGGGTGTGGTGGTACACAGGCCTCCTCAGCAGCAAGCCTGCCAGTTCGTGGGGACTCTCAGAATCCTGGTCTCTTCTGAAGAGGCCGACCTGCAGGCGGGGACCCCCTGGGAGCCACCATGAGGAGGAGCCCTGGGCCATCCACCCCTTCCTTGCTGCAGAATCAATGGCTGAGGAGACTTGTTTCTGGAAGCTCCTTCGCCGCAGGGTGAGACAGCTCCGTGATAGGCCCACGCTGAACTGGCAGGGGAGCAGCCAGGTGTGCTATGGACAGATGCCCGTGCAGCATCGGCATCATAGCCGAGGGGAGCTTGGGAGGGCGGTCCAGGTGGACAGAGCCCTGGGAGGCCAGGATGAGGTCCAGGCAGCTTTCAGCACAGCCCAGCGGGCCAGGGGGATGCACCTCCCGTACTTGGAAGAAGGTCAGTCACGCTGAGGCCCACACCTCAGAGAGTTCCACCACGCTGCAGGTGAGGGTCTGTGGGCAATTCACATGTGGTCCCACCCAGTGCCCTCGGCACAAGGCAGCCTAAGAGAAATGGGGTCTAGGGCATCACGGAGAAGGATGCAAAGCATGTCTAGGGAGTTAGTTGCCTTGAGAGAAGAATTGGATCCACCTTCCCTTAGCCCCACTCCCTCCTCCCTCCACCTTTCCCTCTCCACTGCCCACTCCTCTCTTGCTCTGGCCTCATTGCTCTGCATTTCCTGCATTGGCTTTCTTGGTCTTGCTTGTCTCCCCCCACCCCCTCTCTCTCCCTCCCTCTTTCTCCCTCTCTCTCTTCCTTCCTCTCTCTCTCTTTCTCCCTCTCCCCCTCTCCCTCTCTCCCCTCTCCTGCTCTCCCCCTCTCTCCCTCTTCCTTTCCCTCTCTCTCTCTCTCTCTCACACACACACACACACACACACTTCCTAAATCCATTTAAAAATTTTTTTTAGTAAATCACCGTGAGGTACAATTACAGGCTTACAAACTTTCATGCTTGCATTTCAGTCATGTGATGATCGAGTCCCCATCCCTCCACCAGTGCCCATTTCCCACCATCAATGGTTCCAGCATCCCTCCCACCACCCCCACCCCATCCCCTCCACCCTACCCCACCTCTGTAGGCATTTCCTCTTGCTCTCTCTGTTGGGGTGTTGTGGCTTGCAACAAAGGTATTAAGTGGCCATCATATTTTAGGGGGGCTGGAGCAATAGCACAGCGGTAGGGCATTCGCCTTACAAGCGGCCAACATGGCCGACCCGAGTTTGATTCCTCCGCCCCTCTCGGAGAGCCCGGCAAGCTACCGAGAGTATCTCGCCCACACAGCAGAGCCTGGCAAGCTCCCCGTGACGTACTCGATATGCCAAACACAGTAACAACAAGTCTCATGATGGAGACATTACTGGGCCCACTCGAGCAAATCGATGAACAATGGGAGGACCGTGTCGACCATGTCGACATATTTTAGGGAAGATTCTGGGTTTTTCGTTCCTTGCCAGCACATAAGGACAACCATTGTAAAGGAGAGATCAGGGACCCTCTGCTGTTTTCTGGGAAGAAGTGGCCCCACACTGGTCCCATGGGCCCCTCAGGGATCATGAGGGGACAGAGCCTCTGGCCCATCCGCACACCTGGGTCCGGTTTCCAGCAGTAACCCCAATATTGGGAGCCTCTGCTTTAATGATCCTCGTGCCCGGTTAATGAGAACCTGGGGTCCCCACCCTGCTCATCTTCCCCTCTGTGGGTGAGGCTTGGAGTTGCCGGAGGAAACTCCAAAGCCGACTTGGCATTTGTTCCAGAGGGGAGGAGAGTGGGTTTTTCTCAGGGTTGCGATGCTTTGCTTTGGCTCCTGGCCCTCCCCATCTTGACTTGGCAAACACATCCTACTCCAAAAGTGTTCAGTTGGTGCTGTCTGAGGGGCTGGGATACAGTCTACTGTGGAAGGGCCAGACTGGGCACCCCTGCTGAGCACCTACAGGGTTCAGCTCCACATAGAAACCCTGGCCTTGCCTACGACCTCTCCAGGGAGCTTTGATGCCTGTGGTGTCATTAAATTCCCCAGAGCCTGAAGCCCCTGAGGCTGTTTGGGGGTGTGATCCAGACCTGCAGGGCCTTGTGGGATAAGCAGAAAACCCCACTTGAAGCCAGTGAAGAACAGAGGCCCCATGGCTATCTGATCAAGACCCCCTGCCCAGACTCTGTGGGCTCCTGGGGTCCCCCAGTCTTGCTACCAGCCATTCCCCCATGGGCACAATCTTTCTCCTAGCCTAGACTCGCCCCACCATACACCTTCCTGGTTTTCAGAGCTGGCAGCCCTGCTAATGACAGGTCCCAGTGCCCTGTGGCTGGAGTAATTCAGGAGTCTTCCTTATGCCAGTCTGCCACCCCATCCTGGACGCTGATGGAGAGATGGAGTGGTGGAGGACCAGTCCCAGGAGGGAAAGGGGCTGGGAGAGACACAGGGCCCACAGGGGTACTCCTGAGGACACTCCCTATTCATGCCCCATCAAGCCTGGAGCTGGGGGGACTCTCAAGGCTCACTTACACAAACAAACAAACACTCCTCCCGTTGCTCATCGATTTGCTCGAGCGGGCCCAGTAACGTCTCCATCGTGAGACTTGTTACTGTGTTTGTCATATCAAATATGTCACGGGTAGCTTGCCAGGCTTTGCCATGCGGGCGAGATACTCTTGGTAGCTTGCCGGGCTCTCCAAGAGGGGTGGAGGAATCGAAACTGGCTTGGCCAGGCTGGCAGTGCGCAAGGCAAATGCCCTCCCACTGTGCTATCGTTTTAGCCCACTTATACAGTGCCCCCTAAAATGTGGTATCTTGAGATGCATTTCTGGGTCCCTCCTTAAATGATCTTCTGGACCCCAGATTCCCTCAGCGGTTGGTTCACAGCCTGGCTTCTCTCTCCTCCAGCCTCAGGGCACAGGCACTTAGCTGGGGCTGCCTGGCGCAGAGAGGCCCTGAGTAGGTCCCACTTACAGAGTCCACAGCCAGAGGAGACCAGGGAGAGGGTGAGACGTGACTGTCTTGGGGGCACCGGGGCCTCATTAGGAAGCCGCACGACACCCCTCCGGCAGGGAACTGGGGGTTTGCTGCATAAAATGTCAAATTGCAGAAATTAAAAATGTAAATGTGGGCATCTAATTAACCAGTTGACAGCAGTGCACAGCTGCAGGTGACAGTGACTGATTGCCTCTGCCAGCCTCTCTCCCCAGCAGCCGCCGGCCCTCCTGGGTCCTGGTGAGCCCCCAGAGAGAGGAGGGGCTCACGATGGTCATCTTCCCTGGCACAGGGGCCCCTGTCATCCCTGAGGAAGAGTGGGAGAAGATACAAGAGACTGAACTACTCCCATAAGGCACCTGTGGACAAGAGTGCCTTATCACTTTTGCCATCCTCTGACACTGCCCTGCCCACTTCCACATCTCCCACGTGCAGTCCTGCAGAGGGCTCTCTCTGGGGCCCAGATGGACAAAACCGACCACAGTTCTCTGGGGCTCCCACACAATCTGCCACCTGTCAGGGGGCACCCATTGCTCTTGGGTATCATCTGCACGACTCCACTTTCTTTTTTTCCTTATGTCCATTCTTGGCAGGTATTACTCAGACATTGGGAAGATGCCCGCCATCAGCGACCAGGACATGAATGCCTACCTGGCCGAGCAATCTCGGATGCATATGAATGAGTTCAACTCCATGAGCGCACTGTCAGAGATCTTCTCCTACGTGGGCAAGTATAGTGAGGAGGTAAGTGTGGCCAGTGTGGTGCCAGGGGAGGACTGGGAAAAGACTGGAGAAGACGTCCCTGGCTGGAAGCCTCTCTGGGCAGGGATAATTCCTCATCCCAACCCCAGGATACCCTGCCACCCCTGCAGGACATGGATGCCGTGCCCCAAAGAATGGACTCAAGAAACAGTCTGCTCTATTAGCCCTACTCTTGCCCCATCCTTCTTGGTACATCCATCAGGCGCCTGTTTTTTTTTATCTTTCTTTTTTTGTTCTTTGTATTCTTGTGTCTTTCTTACTCTTCCCCTGGTTTGATTTTAGTTTGTTTACTTCTCTAATTCTTTTTAAATGAGTACCTCTCCAGTCCCATTGACAGGTTATATGTATTGTACGGTAGGGTGGGGGGTGGTTTTTGTGTGGTAAGATAAGACTGGGAGGGGAGAATAAGGAAGGGTAGAATAGGATTGGGAGGGAAGGGTAGGGGATAGTAGGATTTGTAGAGTAGAATAGGGTAGGGTAGGGCAGAGCAGGGTAGAGTTGGATAGAACTGGTAGGATAGTATAGCATAGGATTGGGTGGGAAGGGTATAGTAGGGTAGAGTAAGGTAGGGTTGGATGGGACTGGCAGGGTAGGGTAGCATAGTAATGAGATGGAATGGTAGGTTAGCATGTGGTAGGATAAGACTGGGAGGAGAGGATAGGGTATGGCGGGGTAGAGTTGGTAGAGGAGAACTGGGTAGGGCAGAATAGAGTAGAGTGGGATTGGATAGGACTGATAGCATAGAGTAGCATAGTTAGTATTGGGAGGGAAGGGTCAGATAGGATAGGGTATAGTGGGATGGGGTTGGTAGAATAGAACTGGGTAGGGTCAGCTAAGTAGGGTAGGGTTGGATAGGACCGGTAGGGAAGCATTGGGAGGGAAAGGTAGGGTAGGGTAGGGTAGGCTAGAGTATGGTAGGATAGAACTGGGAAGGAAGGATAGGGTATTGTTGGGTGGGGTTAATAGGGTAGAGTAGGGTAGGGTTGGCTAGGACTAGGAGAGGAGGGTATCATAGGATTGGGAGGGAAAGGTAGGGTATGGCGAGGTAGAGTAGGATAGGATTTGGAGGGAAGGGTAGGATAGGACAGGAAGGAAGTATAGGATTGGGTAAGAGAGGATTCAAAAGGAAGGGTAGGACAGAGTAGGGCTAGGATATGATTGGCAAGACAAAGTAGAACACAACATTGTAGGTACAATATGATATGGATGGAAGGGTAAGGTATAGTGTATTCTAGGGCAAAGAGGGATAGGGTAGGATTTGGTGTGGTAGGATAGGGAATGGTCAGATAGGTTGGAAAGATAGGGAAGAGTAGGATCATGGAGAGTATGATATGCAAGGTATGGTAGTCTGGTGGGGAGGGGAGGTGGGGTGTGGTATGGTTTTGTATGGTGGGATGGTTTGGCGTGGAGTGGTCTGCAGGGTGAATTGATAGAGCATGGTATGATAGGGTGAGGAAGGTTAGTAATAACTAGGGAATAGAATAGATGTAGAATAGGTGTATAAAATGTGTGTAGAATAGAACCACCTAAAGTAGACTAGCATAGAACAAATGAGAGTGGCATCTGTGTAGAGCAGCTGTGCCCGGGCTGGAAATTCATCTTGGTGGCCACTGTCTCAGGCTGGAAACCCCTCTCGATGACCACCATCTCAGGACACACCGAGTTCGTTTTGCTCAGCACAAAGGAGCTTATGCATATTTTTTTTGTCTACTAGGCTCAGACTATGTAGGTTCAAAGTCCTGTGTCTGGGAAGCAGCCCCAGTGGATGCCAGCCTTTGTGTTCAGTGCCCTGTGCAGGGCAGGCACCTGCAGTTGTGTGTTACTTCTCCTGTGTGTTACCTGACTGTTCTCTCCACAAAAAAAATGGGTCAGAGAAGGCTTCGAGTTCCCACATTTCACCCATGAGGATCATGGGGACAGAGGAGTTACGTGTTTGGGTCACCCAGCTGCAAACAGGTGGACCCATGATTTGATCCCATGTCACATCTCCTAAGCCTGAGTCCGAGCCAGTCCTATTTTGTCTCCTGTGTCCCAGCTGCTCATGTCTTGCCTGCCTCTTGCTATCTGAGCTCATGGGAAGACACAAGTCTTCTGAATGTGGAATTCCGGGTTTAGGGTTGGTGGGAGGAACTGGGTTTCTTGAAGGAGTGGTGGGATTTCTTACTATCCAGGAAATCACAAGTGCCCTAGACTTTGGGCACCATAGGGAGCATGGAGCTGTGTGGGTCTCTGCATCACTCTAGCATGGGTATCTTCTGTCTTCGAACCCTCCTTTACCCAAACATCCCCATGGGTTTCTTGGACACTTGGGTGCCTCCCACTCCTCCCCAGTCTGATGAGCCGAGCTACCCATAGGCCCACCAGCTTCCTGATGGCATCTTAGCTGGTGCTCATATCCCCAAACTTCCATCCTGCCTGCATTCAGCTTCACACACACAGACATACCCTCTCACCATCTCCTTCTGCTTGTCCTTCCACAGATCCTCGGCCCTCTGGACCACGATGACCAGTGTGGGAAGCAGAAACTGGCCTACAAACTAGAGCAAGTCATAACCCTCATGAGCTTAGACAGCTGAGAACCGTCCTCCAGGGTCACCCTGGAGGAGGGACACACCAAGCCGTGCCTCTGTCTAGATTCTCATCTTTACCAAGTGCAAGTTCCGACTGGCCTCAGCAGCATCCCGAGCAGCGCCCCCTCTCTCTCTCTCTCTCTCTCTCTCTCTCTCTCTCTCTCTCTTTACTTTCTCCCTCTCTCTCTTTCTCTCTCTCACTGTCTCTATCTTTCCTCTCTCTCCACCTTTTTCATCACATTCTGACTCTTGCTAGCTCTCTTGCATACTCTCTTGTGCTCTTCCTCTCTCTTTTGTGCTGTTATCTCTCTCTCTCTCTCTCTCTCTCTCTCTCTCATCTCGGTCTCTGTCTCTCGTTTGCACTCTCACACACTCTCTTTTGCTCACTATCTTGCTCTCTGTTTTGAGCTGTCTCTCTTTTCCTTTCTTTCTCTCCCTCCTTTCTGGATCTCCTTCTCTTTCAGTTGCTCTACCAACACCAACACAATTGAACCAAGCCGCCGACCCTCAGTCCATGCAGGACGGCCAGGTCTATCACCAGGGGCCCTGTTGGGCAGAAGGCAGAGAGGCTCACTCCATGCCCTCCACCGTGGGAGGCAGCAGGGCCCTGCTCTGGGTGAGGAGCCCTGGACGGGGGCTGCTTCCATGCTGCTGTTACACTGAGAGATACTGCGCCAGTCTCCATGTCAGCCTGGGAAGGGGCGAGGAGCTCAGTATTAACTTCCCTGGGAAGGTGGCTCCTGGCGCTCCCTTCCTACATGTCCATCTCCAGGGGCTCATCAGTGAACTGGGCCCTTAGCCACAGTGAGAAGAAGGGGTCTACCTCTCTCTCGTCCTCGGCTGGAGCAGGCTGTGTGTGTGGAGGGGAGACGTACCAGCGAGCAATCTCTCACCTATTTGACTGGTATCCTGAGGCCTCCTCATCTCCTTCCAATCTTCTGGAAGGCCTGTTCAGTGCTCAAGGGATGCTGCCTGCCCAGAGGACTCCCGTCTGCAGGAAGCCAGATGGGAGACAGAATCGCAGCTGCATTCCACCATGGAGACGCTTCTGGCCCAAGGCTGCAGATATGAAACCTGGATGGAGCAATGAGAAAGGAGAGATGCATTTACCATGGAAGAAGCAGGCTTTGCTTTTTTCCATTATCATCCACCCGTACCCCAACTCCACCCCCCACCACACACACACACCCCAGAGGCCCAGGAGTCCTGATCATTCTGCTATGTCCAATCCATTGTGAGGTCCCCACGGACTGTCTAGAGAAAGCCCCCCCCCCCCCAGCCTCCTCGGCCATTGCTCCTGCCAAGCATCCGGCAAGCGTGCAGAGCGCATTCCAGGAGCTACTACCTCCAGCCGTCTCCATGGCTCCCTCCCCAGTGTCCTTCCCGAGAACTCTGCAGAGGGCCGGTCCACAGTCTCCCGCTTTGCCCCTGCAGAACTTGGTGCCATCACTATGCAGATGACTGGTCACGGGGGCTATCCGGACCTCCCACGGGGATTATTTCATCCACATCTCAGCGGCCTCCCCTCCTCCTCTCCTCACGATCAAAGAAACCCACTCAAGCACAGCCTCACGCAGACAAACCAAAATGCCAGCCGCACGCAGCCCCAGGCTTGTCGGGTCCAGGAGGCACAGGATTCAGCTGTGCTCAGGCCTGACCTGCCTCTCCTCCTCCTGTCCTTCCTCTGTGACAAGCAGGGCCAATGGCGAGAGACACAGATGGACTGATGGAAGGGTCCTGGACATATTGCCTTGATGGAACCCTCGATATTGGGGGCTATCCCTGCCCCACCACAAGCCAGACACTTCCCTGGTTGCCCTGCCATCCAGTCACACACCAGCCTGGGAGACAGGAGAAGCATCGTCTATGGTGGGCTGGGGGGGGGGACGGGAGGGATGGAGGTGGGGGATTCCCCTCCCCCCGCCCTCCCGTGCTGCCTTCACTCCCCTGCCTCTGCTTCATTCCCTAGCCTCCGTGGAGAGAGGGCAAGGGACCACATCATTTCTGGCAAAGTCTATGGAGCATCACATACTTTGAAGAACCCTAGCCTCGTTGAGTGTGAAGACGTGTGTGTGCGTGTGTGTGCGTGTGTGTGTATGTGTGTGTCCCAGGAGGAGGCAGAGAGCTCAGAAAGATTTCTTAGTCCAGGAGGATTCTGAAGCGTTTCCTTCTTTCGTGTTTCATTCATCCTGCATCATCAGGGTATAACTCCAATCTTGCTTTCTAGGGGCCCGGTGCTCGTGGCGGGGCGGAGGGGGTCACCTGTCCATAGGAAATCAGGGTGGTTTCTGGCCAAGGCTTGGACTCAACGGGGTGGGGTGGGAGGGGTCAGTGTGCTGGGCGGTGTTGAGCGAGAGCCAGACAGCCAGCGGCGTCGAGGACGGTGGATATTGGACACACCCTGGCCACCAGCGTAGGGGGAAGAGAAGCGGGGCGGGGGTGGGGAAGAGGTACGTCAAGGGGAAGCAAGCTAACCAAAGGTCTCGGCAAGTGACGTGCTGGGTGAGGCGCACGCATGTTCACCAGGGATGGTGCTCCTTGCTCCCAAGAGGCCCTGGGCTCTGGCAGACCGGAAAGAGGCCGGGGAGGTGGTCCAGGAGGCCCTCACTGGCTCAACTATTTTTTTGCACATGTCGGGGAGGGGTGCAGCATGAACGTATTTAACACAGATCGACTGAATGGAAGCTGTGTGCGTGCGCGCGCGTGTGTATGTGTGGGTTTCAACTTATTTTTTTTTGTTTTGTTTTGCACAGTTAGAGAAAAAAAACTGAACACGCAGAAAAGACAAAAAAAATATTAGACTGTTCTTCTGGTTCTGCTGAAGTTTTTTTTTTTTTTACTGGATTATTATTATTGTTATTATTCCTTGGTCGGTACAGAATTCTTCTCCCCTACGTTTTTGTTCTAGAAGAGTTTTCAAAGCCCCCCCTCCCCCGTCCAGCCATGTCAGGAAGAGGAAATGTGCTCTTCCCCCCCCTCCGCCCCCACTCTCCGTGTCTCCTGGGGATGGGGGGCGGGGAGTTTATGGTTCAAGAGCAGTTTGCCTGTTTCTGGTGCTGGAGACTGCTTGGCCATGGGGAAGGATGCAGGGAGACGATACCAGAGCCACCCATTTGCCCGCAGACCTTCTCTTTCTTTTCTGTGTGCTCTTCATTTCTTCCATTTGGACTCTTGGCGCACGTGTGATCTGTTTTGGAGTCAAGACAGGACAGCCTTGTTCACAAATTGCCGTTTTCCTCCAAATCTTTCCAAACGTCCCCTGGAGTCTGTCCTCCTCTTGGTGCCAGAGAAGGGATCTGGCCACCTGGGGTTCCTGGGGGAGAGGGTGCACCTCAAACCTCACCCTTCCTCTCACAGTTTATGTGTGAGCTCACCCTGCTGTTTAAGGTGGAAACTTTATCTGAGTCCCTGTGTCCTGGGAGAAAGCTGGGAAGATGAGCTGGGACCCTCAAAATTTCCCCATCACCCCATCTCCAGCCACCGCCCCCACCAGGGTCCTTGGTTCCAGGTCAGTGGGTGACCAGCCTGGTTCAAATGTTGGGGAAGATGAGTTGCAGGTGGCAGTGGGGTGAGAGTAGTGGAGGGCTTGCTGGGGTTCAGGATTTAAAGAAGACATCTATAGAAGTCGAGTCCATGCAGGTTGGGCATTTCCCGAGGGTCACTTGCGCAGTCTTTGTCCATTCTTGTCTGGAGAGACCCCGGCGTTTCTGGACCTCGGCATCCTGCCCCAGAGATGGGGGTCGGGGTTCAGCTTCTTCATCAGGAAAATGCTGCTGCTTCCCTTCTCTTGAGTGTTCTGAAACGGGGCGTGTGGCATACTCAGGTATGGTCACTGCCCGGAACGGTACCTCCTCCCCCTCCAGTCAGTGCCCGGACCCACCTGAGCCTGGGAACCTGCGAACAAGGTCAAAGATGAGAAAAGTCCTGAGTCCCAAAGTGCGAGGGGGACAGAGCAGGACAGGGCACAAGGTGGGGTGGGGACACAGGAAGGGCCTTGGTCCACCACCCCGTTGGTCCCCTCCCTGCCATCCCTGCGCTCCCACCTCATTGCTTCCTCCATCCTGATCCCTGTGTTTGTGCCCCCTTGCATGTCTGGCTTCTGAGTATCCCTCCCGTGCCGAACATGCAGCCTTGCCTACCTTCACGTGCAGGCACCTCAGCCCCTCTCCCACCCCACTGTCCCACTAGATCCCCTCACCCCACCCCCGTACCCCTCAGAGGACCCCCAGGCATGAATTTCCCAGACAAGTTCCACCCCGAGAGCCAGATTCTGTGGTCATTTCCAGAGCCCTTAGCAATCTGGGAGGACTTGGGGGAGGGGGGGACTTTCCTTTTGCTCTGTGTGACCCCCCACTTTGACCTAAGGGGGACCCTCGCTTTCCCTTCTGTCTCCTCTCTCGGGCTCAAGGCTCCCTTCGACCTCACAGGAGGCAAAGTCCAAAACCTACAGCCCAGTGAGCTCCAGGGTTATTCCTCCAGCAAGATCCTCTTTCCTGCCTTGAAGAGCTAAGAAGGGAGACTCCAGATTGGTCCTTCCAGGATCCCTCACCAACACCCTTCTGCCTCTGAAAGGCATCATCCTCCTGGTCCTAGGCCCCCAATGTCCTGGAGTGCACCCCCCATCTGTCAGGCACTCCTACCTCCTTCCTGGCCTCCCCCTACCCCTTATGCCTGGTCAAGGGGTCCTCTGAGCTCCTCACTCTCCTGTCAGCTCTTGGGGGGAGGGGGTTCCAGCCCTAAACCCTGTCAACCTCTTCCCTTTAACAACAAAACAGCCTCATGCAGGCTGTTCCTTCGGGGGAGCAGAGGTAGCTCTTGTATTTTTGTTTATATTATTTATAGACTTTGAAATTAAAGAGCCCCAGGGTGGGTGTCAAGTACAAATCAGTAGCGAGAAAAACCCAAAATCAAAACCTGATTTCCATCAAAGTGCTTCCCACGGTGGTTAAAGAAGGGATCAGGGCATTCCTGGTTGTGCCCCCATCCTGGGAAGCACCCCAGCTGCACAGCCCCCCTGACCCACACCCTTCTCCTTCTGCTTCCCACTATCCCTCTGTTCCCCCAGGTGTGGCATAGGCAACCTCACTTTACTGGCAGCGCCCACCATCACCACCAAAACCTA